TAGCTGATACAGTATAAGATTAAGATTATTTAATGTATTATACAACATTTGAGATCACCTAGATTTATCAAAACGAGAAACTGACTTGGACACGTTCAAGGGATTAGAAGGTAAGATTGGGAAGCAAACAAATTAAAAGCCAACCTAGTATTTCACTTGAGAGAATACTTGTTTTTACTTGAGAATAATTCTTATCCTGTTTTGTGAAGGCAAATTTTTAAAGATAAAAAGCAAACAAAGATGTTTTAGCCCATGAATTTCATCTCTCTTCCAAATGTGTCAACCATCATGGAATACAGGCTTATCACAACTTTACTTTTAAAACATATATAGCTTTACTTTTCTAAATATATTAATTTCTGGCTGATTTCATGGGTTATTTTATGATCCGTGAGGCTTCAATATTTTTCTTCTATGGCTACAGGAAAAACCTGACATGCATTTACCTAAAAACTTGCTTTTAAGCAAGCTAATTTAGAACATTTTATCATTCTGATACAGTAGGCTTATATTCTAGTGCTATTGAAACAAACATCTAGGACCAAGATGGAGCCACTCCTGCCTAGGGTGCCATGTCAGCAAACTGAAACTTAAGATAACTTTCAGGTCCCTGTAAATGCTCTGCTTGACCAGAGACACCGTGTATCCAGTCAGCCAATCCCCACAGGCCAAACCAATTCTCGGCTCTATACTTATTTCTTTGTTCCTTCTCACCCCAAACAAGGTTGACTATGGGGCCCCAGCCAATCAGACATTTTCTATTTTTCTCTTCCTTGTTCTTTATTCTTCATCCTATAAAATCTTCCTGTCTTCTGCCCCATGTTGCACTTCTCCACATGGAGACTGTCTGTTTCATAAAGTGTTAAAGTTAATTTGTATCACCCAAACTGTCTTCTTTAAATCATTTTTTAACAGCACTAAACAGTATATGGCTAAAAAAATAATTTATTATTGCAAATCAATATTGTTAAAGAAAAAATAGCTCATAACATTATATCAATTTAGTTATAGAAATGATACAACATAAATTTACTAGATGTGTTTTTTGCCTAACTAAACATGATAATGTGACGAGAAAGGATATATAAATATATATCATGCTTCTACAATCTAGTTTCTAGTATCTTGTTGATTTGAAAAATTCACGATTTCTTTAAGGTACTTAATCTGGGTTTTTTGTCTGTTTTTTAACTCCAAAATATTATTTTGCTATGTGGCTAGAAAGGCAAGCACTATCAATACTTTAGAAGCGCTAACAATGGTGGAATCAGGCCACAACACAGAGAAATGCTGGACCGGAGGAGAGAGGAGACTTGGTTTTGAGCTCACTAGCTTTGGAGTCTTAGGCAACTCAATCTTTCTTTGTTTCCATTCCCTTATTTGTAAAACAGTAGTCAGAGTAAGCAATCATATCTAACATTCTCCAAGAGTCTCTCTAAACTGTAATTAAAATTAATGAGGGGGAAAAAGATCTTACGATTTTATCTTCAAGTAGAAACAATGACACCAAGCAGCTCAACAGATGAAAAAGAAAAATACAATATACATACATATAAATATATTTAGATACAGATATGAAAGTTTCTACTAGTACATGTGAGTCACTGGCCTTTGAGTAATTTCTCCTGACTACTCCCTACTCTGCCCCCATTTAAAGAGACTGACGAAATAAAGGCAGCAATTTTTGACATCATTATTCTTAGCAAGGCTTTGCATTTTGTTTTTATTCTCCTCGCGAATAGGCATATTTGTATTTTGCTTCTGAAAAGGGTGCAGGACATCATGGCAGACCAATACTCTTGTTTAACAACTAGAAAAAAAACCCTTGATAAATGGTTAAAAATATATTTATGAGAGAATTGTGGGAGCAACGAGAATTTTATATTATCTAAAATTCCAAAGAGGAAAAAGTCCTTCCTAGGTGAGCTGACAATAACTGGCTCCTTTCTTCCGTAGAAGCCTTTGACAATTCTTAGTGTGGGCTGAGGATAAGATTTGGACCGAGTGGAGGCACACTATCTTAGGAAAGAGAAATTAGTACAGCTTATCATGATCTCATGGTGTTGTCACAACAGTCTAGAAACTAAAGGAACCCCAAACACAAGGCTGATTTTTCCCAAGAAATATTTGCTGAGTTCCTGGGAGGTCTGAGAGGCTTAAGTTCTGAATCTGAATCTTCAAAAAGGCAGAGTGAAATGTCTAACTCAGGTAGTGTTTCAGAGACAAAGTACTACTAGAAGTAAGAGATCTGTAACAAACACATAACTAGCTTCTAACAATCACTTATGAGGAAATACAAGGGAACATAATGAATGACAATTTGGTAATGCAATCAGCAAAATACAGACTAAGGGATACTCCTCAGTACAAATGGTCAGCTTTCTTACACAAATATATTGCAAGGGAAAAAACACAGAGGAACCTATTGATTAAATAACTTAAGAAACATGGCCACTTTTTGTCATACATGGACCTTAACTGGATCTGGATGCAAAGATACAAAAGGAAAAAAAAATATTATGAGACTGTAAGGGAATTGGGATACCTGACAGAATATTGAGATATTAAAGATTTATTTAATAATGGTATCATAGTATTGGGTTGGCCAAAAAGCTCCTTCGGTGTTTAAAGTAAAACTAAAAGACGGATTTTTCATTTTCACCAAGAACCTTACTGAACAACATATTCACTGTTTTGTTCCACTACCATCTGCCAGTTTCCAGGCAACTTCATAATTCTACCTTCTCAAAACCTTTTATCTTTTTGAGCAAAGAACTGTTCCAGGTGCCTTTTACAGTCTTCCAGGGAACTGAAAATTTTTCCATTAAGAGAATTTTGTAAAGACCGAAATAAATGGAAATCTGAAGGTGCAATGTCTGGTGAATATGGCAGATGAATCAGAACTTCCCAGCCAAGCTGTAACAGTTCTTGCCTGGTCATCGAAGAAACGTGCAGTCTTGTATTATCCTGAAGGAAGATTATGTGTTTTCTGTTGACTAATTCCGGATGCTTTTTGTCGAGTGCTGTTTTCAGTTGGTCTAATTGGGAGCAGTACTTGTTTGAATTAATCACTTAGTTTTCCGGAAGGTGCTCATAATAGAGGACTCTCACCATATACACAACATCACCTTCTTTGGATGAAGACCAGCCTTTGGTGTGGTTGGTGGTGGTTCATTTCACTTGACCCACGATCTCTTCCGTCCCACATTATTGTACAGTATCCACTGTACAAAAAAAAAGTGTACAGTGTACACTTTTCATTGCCCATCACAATTTGTTTTAAAAACGAAACGTTTTTGTTACGTTTAAGTAGAGAATTGCACGCGGAAATATGGTCAAGGAAGATTTTTTCGCTTAACTTACGTGGAACCCGAATAAGGTGACATATGGTCACCTTATCTTTGATAAAGGAGGCAAGAATATACAATGTAGCTCAATATCAAAAAAAAAACTACCCAATCAAAAAATGGGCAGAAGATCTAAATAGGCATTTCAGCAAAGAAGACATACAGATGGCCAAGAGGCACATGAAAAGATGTTCAACATCACTAATTATTAGAGAAATGCAAAGCAAAACTACAATGAGGTATCTATCACCTCACACCAGTCAGAATAGCTGTCACCAAAACATCTACAAACAATAAATGCTGGAGAGGGTGTGGAGAAAAGGGAACCCTTCTGCACTGTTGGTGGGAATGTAAATTCAGCCACTATGGAGAACAGTATGGAGTATGGAGGTTCCTTAAAAAACTAAAAATAGAGCTACCATATGACCCAGCAATCCCACTACTGGGCATATATCCTGCCTTCTTATTGAAAACCAAATCATAGAAATAGCAACAATTTCAAAAACGGCAGTAGGTTCAGTAACCTGTATTCCAAAATTATCTAAGAAAGACAGTTGTCTAGAATTAAAGCTCTCTAAGAATGGAATCCTACTTCTTTCTTTGGTAGTTTGATTTATTTCAAGTTCATTCATTCATTCAACAAAGTTGCAGATAAAAAAGTCCTTACTGGAGGGACTTCCCTGGTGGTGCAGTGGTAAAGAATCTGCCTTCCAATGCAGGCTTCAATCCCTGGTCAGGGAACTAAGATCCTACCTGCTGCGGGGCAACTAAGCCCACACGCCATAACCACTGAGCTTGCGCTCCTCAATGAGAGCCCACGTACTGCAAACTACAGAGCCCACGCGCTCTGTACCCTGCGTGCCACAACTACAGAACCCACACACCCTGGAGCCTGAGCGCCACAACTAGAGAGAGAAAGCCCGTACTCTACAACTAGAGAAGCCCGCGTGCCACAACGAAGAGCCCACACCGCAACAAAAGATCCCGTACGCCTCAACAAATACCCCAATGCTGCAACTAAAACCCAATGCAGCCAAAAAAATAAACAAAATAAATAAATAAAAAGGAAATAAATTAAAAAAGAAATAAAGATGCTTAAAAAAAAAGTCCTTACTGTCAAGGAACTTACTGTCTGGAGGAGAAGCCAATCCAGGAAAGAACTAAACACAATCTCATGAGATAAATTCTACTGTGCATGATACAGACGAGTACAAGATGCTATGGAAGGAGAGAGGGGAGGTACTGTTTCCTTTTAGGATTGAGTTTCATGTGCTGGCAAGAATGGTGGCCTGGTAGGCGTTGAGGGAGGCAGAGATAACATCCTGAATTGATTTATGTCAAACTAAGGAGTCTGGATAGAAGGTATAATGGGGTAGCACTGACAGCTTTTAAATTATCTGATTTATACTTTAGAAAGTTAGAAATGAGGAAAAATTTTAGGCATTTATTATGTTAATAACTTCAACAATTTAGAATTATCTAAAAGAAACATTACAATATTACCTATTCACAAAATGAAAACCTATTATCTATGGAAGTTTAAAAACTAAAAGTTAAAGGCTTGAGATGAGAAGCTTGCCTGCAGTTTCTCCTGAATAAGTAACAGAGATTAAGCAGAAAAGGAGTATAACCAAACACTTCAGGTTTACGTACCTATAACAAGATGCTCCATAGGGACATTCAGGCCGGTCATCAGCCTCACCTTGACACGTGATGTGTACACCTCCATAATCACTATCACCAGGGTGACTGAAATGTTGAAAATGGACAGGATTCTTCCTATGAGAGTGATAAACATACTGTCAGAAAAAAAGAATTAATAGGATATAGTAGACTTCCAAATAAACTAGAAAAAAATAATTAATAGGATATAGCATGAAAGCAAACAATACACATTTGATTATTCTAGAACGTGAACCAACATGCTACATGACATTTAGTCAGTGCGGAACTCTCATGGTAGTAAATTAAATTTCTGGTGACATGGGGAAGACCATGAATGTCAACGGACAACCTGAAAACAGTACTTTATATAGGCTATATACAACAGAATATACAGGATAATATAAATAGTATAAGCATACAGAGCTTTTAAAGACTTTTAATAAAGTGAACACATCTACACTCCCTCTGCTAAGATAAAAAACAATATTACCAACATTCTAGAAGCCCTGCATGTCCCCTTTGAATCATTAAACCCATTTTACTACCCAAAGCTAACCACTATCCTGTCATCTGCAACAGTGTTTCTCAAACTTTTCAGTCTCAGGAAAAAAACTATTAAAACTCCAGAGAACTTTTATTTATGTGGGTTATTTAACCTATTAGAAATTAAAAATGAGAAATTTTTAAAGTAAATTTACTTTATAATAGTAATAAACCCTTTACATATTATGATAAATAGCACATCTTAATGTAAATACCTATTTTCCAAACAAATTCATGGAGACATTGTTTTATACTTTGGAAATTTCTTTAATGTCTCGCTTAAAAGAGGGCATCCGAATTCTCCTATCTGCTTCTGCATTCAATCATTAACACAAATCATGTAGCCTTTGGGAATACTGTACACTTGTGAGTGAGAGAATCAGAGTGAAAAAGGCACACACACACAAAGTATTATTATGAAAATGGTTTTGGCCCAACAGGTTTCCTAAAAGCATCTCGGGGACCAGGACCTGCAAGGGCCTCTGGAACATACTTTCAGAAGCAATGTTACAAACGACATATTAGTTTTTCCTGTATTTGAATTAAAATGGAAATATGTAGCATGTACTTCTTTGAGAATGACTTTTTATGTTTGTATGATTACTCCACATTACTGCATGTAACAGTAGTATACTTTTATTACTGTGTAACATTCCACTGTATGAAAGTGCTATAATTTATTTGTCCATTCTACTATCAATAGACTTTTGGATTCATTCTAGTTATTGGCTTTTATAAATAATACTGCTGTGAACATTCTACTTTTGGCGTACTGTTAGAAGTAATAAACTAATTCAGCAAAGTTGGAGGATACAAAAATCAACACCCAAAAACCAGTTGTGTTCCTATATACTTGCAATGAACAATCCCGAAAGGAAATTAAGAAAACAATTCAATTTACAATAACATTTAAAAATAAAATAGTTAGGAAATAAACTTAAGGAGGTGAAAGACATACACAGGTTTAATTTCTATTAAAGAAGACACAAATAAATGGAAAGACATCCCATGTTCATGGAATGGAAGACTTAATACTGTTAAGATGTAAATACTACCCCAGGCAATCTACAGATTTAAAGCAATCCCTATTAAAATCCCAATGACATTTTTTTGCAGAAATAGAAAAATCCATCCTAAAATTCATGTGAAATCTCAAGGGACCTCAAATGGACAAAACAATCCTGAAAAAGTTGAAGGTTTCACACTTCCTGATTTCAAAACTTATTACAAAACTACAGTTATCAAAACAGTGTTGTACTAACATAAAGACAGGCATATAATATAGACACATGGAAGAGAACAGACAGCCCAAAATAAACTCTTGCTTATATGGTCAAATGATTTTTCAACAAAGTTGCCAAGACCATTCCAAAAGGAAAGAATACTCTTTTCAACAAACGGTGCTGGAAAAAGAGGATATTCACATGCAAAAGAATGAAGCTGGACCCTTCCCTTACACCATATACAAAATTAACTCAAAATGTATCCAAGACATAAAAGTAAGACCTAAAATATAAAACTTCTAGAAGAAAACAGGGGGAAAGCTTCATGACATTGGATTTGTCAAAGATTTCTTGCCAAATGCAAAGGCAAGAAATGTAAAAGTTGCCTAAGTTCCATGAGACTGCCCCAAACTCTGCCTGTCCTCTTAGCCCTCAGTCTGAAACACTAAAAAATTGGCAAATGTCACAAGAGAAAAAGAATCCTCAAGGTCCTGACTGCCTCTAATGTTCTCAAGCGTGAGTGTTGCGCTTTGCTAGTTGTTTTCAGTGGGAGCTTTGGTCCTCAATAAGACACATCACCTTTACTAGAGACAAAACGCTTATTTTATAGACTATTAACTCATAATTTATATGACCTTATGGAGATAAAATCTACAAGTTTTAATTAAGGTATAAATTTCTTACAAGTTAATAAGAGACATTTCAATTTCTATCCAATTTTTAAAGGCAGTTTACTAATGGAATCAGATGCTATTAAACAGAAAAACTATATGGCCCCAAAAGAACAAAATTTTCAAAAAGAATGTTTTGGAAGCAACAGTTTCTATAAAGTTAAATGCTATTTTGTTGTTTTTTTGCTTCACAAAGGATTGAAATAAGATGTGACTGCTTTAGACAGGTTGAATTTGAAGTGCCTGTGATTTAAGTGGTGATTATCTGGATCTAAAATTTAGTACAGAAATCTGTGTTGGAGATACAGACTTGGGAGTTAATACCATAACATCAAGGGAGTGAATAAGACTACCCCTGAGCAATAATTTTCTATTAAGACAGAACATGTAAATAAATAATTAGAAATCAATGATTAGATAGTAAATATCAGATCTAATATCAAATATTAGAAAGTGTACGAGGAAATGTTGTGTAGAATAGAAGATGAGCAATTTAGGGAAGAATGAACATGTTAGAAAAGGGCTTAAAAAGGAACTGAATGTGTCTTTAAGCAGGACAGGAGACAGGAAAAGGGAACAACACATCCAAAGGACCTAACAACAGCATGACAGCATGGTGCATCCAAAGAATTACTGGGAGTTCAGGGTCTTCTAGACTATGCTAAGAAATCTGGCCTTTAGCCACTGAAGGATTCTGTAAAGGAGAGTAATACTGTCAGATTTTTTTCTCTCTCTTCTTTTTTACCTTTGTTTTTATTTTCTTAGCCAGATCATTCAGGCAACAATGAGGAAGGAATGTGAACCTGACGGAAAGTTTGGAGACTTAGGAGATTATTCACTTGTCCCAGAGAGATCATTGCATGAGCTAAAGCAGTAGCATTGAGGCTGGAGAAAAGATACATTTAACTAATTGTTAAGATGCATGTATATAACAAGAGCTCAATATAGGTTATTTTTCCCCCTTTGTTACAAATATAAACATTTTGTTTTCAAGATTTCAGTGGCAAATATTTCTCAGGTATTAATTACGTATATCAAAATTAGTGAAGAAGTAAAAAAAACTATTCATAAGCTATGACTGGTTAAAACTAACGTGTATCATCATCAAATATGTATGAATTCATTATGATCTTGATAAAACATTCAATCACATTTAACAAAGACAAGTACCAGCCAAACACCGTTATGGACTGAATTGTGTTCCCTACCCCCAAATTTATATGTTCAAGCCCTAACCCCTAATGTGACTATATTTGGAGACAGAGCCTTTAAAGAGATAATTCAGACTAAATAAGGTCATGAGGGTAGGGCTTTAATCCAAAATGACTGATGTCCTTATAAGATGAGGAAGAGACTCCAAAGATGTGCATGTACAGAGAAAAGGCCATGTGAGGACGCCATGAGAAGGCACTGTCTGCAAGCCAAGGAGACAGCCTGCAGGAGAAACCCAACCTGCCAACACCTTGATCATAGGCTTTCAGCCTCCAGAACTGTGAGATAATAAATTTCTGCTGTTTAAACCACCCAATCTGTGGCATTTTGTTATAGCAGCTCTAGTGAACTGATACAGATACCAAACAGGATTGTTCAAAAATCCAAAATAATAGAAGGTTTATATACTTCCATTTCACAAGTTTATAAATTATGTTCCATATGCAGGACTAAGGCCATTGCAAATAGACAAAATTGTGAAAAAACGCATAAATTATAATGGTTGAAATTGAAAAATATAATTATTCAGGTGTTATAATGGCACTGCATTTTAAAGAGAGATACAATGAATGAGAAATTAACAGAATATGTGATATAAATATGCTATCGAATAGAAGACAAACTGCACTAGAATGTACTGATAAGATACTTGGTTTGATAAGTTGGAATGGCAAAGAAATACTTCTGAAATAGGGCTAGGTAATTACAAACATGCTAGAATAAACAGAGAGAAACTATAGCCTAAAACTAATTCACAAAGCATGAAATTAGAAAATATGGTACAGTGTTATCAAATGAAGTAAGTATAGGAGTAACCAATCAATCCAGAAAATATATATTTAGTTGTTTCAGAAGGCATCACGGTGACTCAGAAGCACCATTAGAAAAATATAAAGGAAAATGCACAAATATAAGATGCTTAAGCACAACTTAGAATTCTCTTGAGAGTTATACTGTATACAGCAACTATTTATGAAGGCATCTTTCCAACAGCTAAATAAGACGTTACATAAGCAGGTATTTTGATCTGAGTGATTCTGTTTTCAAGTCTGGATTCCCCAGTTCAGATCTCTGTATTAATCAGCATATCTACGATGAAACATTTAATTCCCCACAATATTTTAAAAGCCTCTAGCAGGATTTGCTAGAATGCATACTGAGAAAGTGCAAACCAGGAGAAACATGATAAAGCTCCTAACCTTTAGGCCAATGGGTTTTATTAGGCTTTTAACACACTATAGCATGTATCTACATAGCTATTATGCTGTTGAAATAATGGAAGTATATGATAGCTGTAATTTCACTTCATACCTGTAGCAGTTTGCCCCATACATGCAGGATGTCCTCTTGACCTTGTTTTCTTCAGAACCCTGTGGAACTGAATCAGCTGCCTTTGCATGCAAAGTTTCAGGATTGGAGGGATCAGAGCCAGACTCAGGATGAGATCTTTCAGGCTCGTCATGGAAGGACTTGCCTTGGGCACTCAAACAACTCTCAGAACAACTCCTCGCCTTGCTGTCTTTATTTGGTGTTCCCTTAGTGGTGATTTTATGTTCAGGAACCTTACCAAGTTCCTCTGCTGGGATTTCATTTCTCTGTGCATTAGTCTTCATGTTATTTACCTCTGTGTTATCTAACGTGATTGCAGAAAATGACTGTGACATTTCCTATAACACAAATCAGAAAGTAAATAATAAAGCATGTTTCAAAAGAAATATGTAAATTTAAGCATAAAAGCGTGAAACTACAAGATTCATGCAATATGTATATTTTAAAACTTTAAGATTCACATTTTAAAGTTATTAAAAATACCATTATCTCTGTCTCTAATTTAATAACTTTGAAATGGTCTACCGTTATCAGAAAAGGAACTTATAGCTGTATCAAACCTTTACAATCGTGTCAAACATTCAGTGACAAATAACCAGAAAAATACAAACGAAACATAAGAGAACACAACAGCTGCTTTCGTTTGAATATAATCTTTCCCAAAAAACCTACTAGGCTCTTAAATTTCCTGTTCAAGAATGTGTCACACTCTTATGCCCTGTTCTTATAATTTCTTATAAGTTACTGTAATACTTTATTTCTACCCTCTAAATATAATCATGATTTTTTTCCTACAGCTGCATGATGAAATTGCTCCTCCTTCACAGAAAAATTTGCATTAAGTTATGAGCAACTTAGAAAATAAATGATTCCTTTGAAGTGGTAGGAATAACAGTTTCAGTTTAACCAATTAAAGGCATCTTGAATCAAGTAAATATTCTCATTAGCACTACAGAACCTTTTTTAATGTGTACTTACCACCAGTAAGTACAATGAGTAAGCCTAGTCTTATCCTATTAAAAATGACCTATTAATTACTTATACTTCCTGTGGAGTGAAAACATTGCTCAGATAAACCCCAGTCCTCCTGGTAAGGATGTGATGACCACGTACTAGATACACGTGAATGTTCACTCCCATGTATAACTAAGAACCCATGTATGCTGGCTGTCTTCTGGGAAAAGCTGGTTTTAATGTTATGTGATATCCAACAGCTCAAATTTCTTGAGAAGGTATCAGCATGACATTTTTTTAGACTAATTACTTAGGTGTTTTGATAGTTTTTTCTTTTCTAACACAGTATGCCAACTTTAAAATGTTATCCAAACTGACTAAAGACCTTGCAAAAAGAACCTAGATCTAATCATGGCTCTCGTATAGTAGGTAATAGATAACCAATCATGTGACTACCTCTTGGAGCTGGCCCTCAGGTGGTGGCATTCATGCCACGTCCCGCTAACATATACACTATTTCCTCCGAAGCTGCTCAAGTACACCCCAATCTCATCTCCCTCTGCTATAGGATCTGGACCTGGGGGTGAGTGGGGTAACAGAGCAATTCTGATCCACCTCCCCACTTGGCAGTCCCCACATTGGGTCAACTCTCACCAATTTTCTTTTTTTCTGTTCAGACAGTAATGGGGTAAGTCAGCAAATCCACTGGCTAAGCAGGTCCAATAAAATGTCAGTCTCTTCTTCCTGTTGGCATCTCGAAATGCCACAATAAATTCTCTTAGAGCACATCTCTTCTCTTGATTTTAGAAAGGGAGAAAATAACTTCTTCCCCCAAACACAGCCCTCTCCCAGATCTTAAAACCTCCTTGTCTCTCAGTTCTCTTTGTATAAAGCCTGAGGGTGGAACAGTGAATACTTCTCACCCCTTTCAATAAGCCCCACAGGGAAAGTCTAGCTCTCACTGCTGGGGTGCTCCTTTCAAACATGAGATACTTAACAGTACTTCTATCCTCAGTGTTGGGCCTCAGCAACAGTTTTATTGACAATAGGGAAAAATATCCCATTCAACGTCCTGTCACATTTAGTATAGGCGAAAAAATACAACACAGCTAGGGAAATGGTTAAATAAAGTAGAATACATTCTTACCATGAAACACTGTGCAGAGGTTGAGAAGAATGAGGTAGATCTATATATATATCTAAAGATTTTTTAAATTAAACAATATATATATACTATGATTCCATCTAGCTTGTAAAAAAAAATTCCCTATATATCTATGTGAGTACTTACTTGTGTAAATCCACATGAAAAGATTTAGAAGGATGCAAACTGAAATACCAGTAGGCAATAAGACTGAAGGATGAGGCAAATCAAGATTTTCATTTTACTTCACATGCGTCTGAATAGTCTAATTTTTGACAATAAGCATCTACTATATTACCACTTAAAAAATGAAAAGCAAACCAAAGAAATGAAATAAAAGATATGAAGTGTAAAGCATCATATTTCAACTCCCTCTACTTCCATGAAATGTAAAGAAGGATTTGTTTTTTTAATATCTTCACAAGGAATATGTTGAACATGTTAATTTATTCCAAAAGGGAAAGGAGTAATAAAGTCACAGATATCAATACTATGGATCAGGGGTTCTCAAATATTTTAAGAGGCATAAAAACTGGAATTCATAATGTTCTTTATGGAACTCCATGAAATATTGATATTCAGTAGGCCCCTGGCATTTAACATTCGTGGTTTCAATTATTCATAAACGGTCTCAAAAATCTATTACATGCAGTATTTTGTAAGTTTGCTGAGACATAAATTCGTACTGTGCCAATTATAAAACTCATGAGCCAGAGCAAGTCACTGAACTGGCAAATGAGAGAAGAGGAAAGATGGAGGGTGCTCTGTACTGGAAGAAGTAGGGGAAGGCAGAGCTCCACATTTTATGGCACCCACATGGCTTATGTCCTAGATGAGATGAAAATGTGAAGAATGAAGTGTGGCAGGCTAGAGATTCATGACAGAAGACGCAGATCTACACTTTGTAAAAATACATGCTAGAGACCTCAGGGATCGGGGAGCATGGAGCTAATGGAAGGTGGCCCTGGTGCTTGAAGGTGGCTAAAATGCACCATATTAAGGCTATTAAAGTAGCCTGTTAACTTGCCCAATAAGCCCTCCCGCGTCCCTCAACCATCTGAAGTTGTTTTTTTTTTTTTTGGCCCCGCCATGCAGCCTGTAGGATCTTAGCTCCCCAACCAGGGACTGAACCAGTGCCCATGGCAATGAAAGCACAGACTCTTAACCACTGGACTGCCAGGGAATTCCCCATCTGAAGTTTTAATACACTACAAGGGACAGGATAAAGAACTTTCCCCGATACAAGTTCAATGAAGTAATTTGTTGTTGTTTCCAAGCTGCCCTTGGAAAGAATGTCTGTGCTAATAAATTGCCTTAAAAGTCCTGCATCAATCCCATTAGCACCCACATGCTAAGGACTAAAAAATCCTAAACTCCAGCCCCAGCCTCACTCTTGAGCTTCAAACTCATATACTCAACCACCAGCTAGACATTCCTTCCTCAATATTCTATGCAACTCAAACTCAAAATGTCAAAATTGAAATCCTCCCTCTGTATTCTGGCCATAGTTTTGGCCAACATAATTTACCTATTCATTCTAGCCAGAACCTTGGAAGTCTATCTTTCATTTCTTCTTTCCTTCACTTTCCCCAGATCTAAGCAACTAGTGCTGCAGCTTGTTTCTTAAATATTTCTCTAATCCAATGCCTTTGCATCATTCTTAATGTCAGTGCCTTGGGTCAGATTCTCTTCATTTCATGACACTGTCAATGCCCTTATCCCCCATTTTTATCTTATTCTCTTCCAATCTCTCCTCTGAAGAGCTGGCTTATGTAGTCCTCCTCAAGGCTCCCATAAAAATCAATGTGTTGTCACTTTATTTTAGGATTTGAATCATGTCCCCCATAAGACTATTTGCTTCTTATCAACTATATCTTATTCATCTTTATTCATTGAATTCCATATTCTAGCATACTGCCTTGCATATAACAGAAAGACTGCTTTAGTGTAATGATTATTAGAATGGTCTTTGAAATAAAAGAATCAGATTTTGAATATCAGCTTTGCTATTTCCTAACCTTTGACCTTGAACAAGTTGATTTAAACTTTCAGACTCCCCTGGTCTGTAAACCAGGGATATTATCAACCAACTTTACAGGATTTTCTAAAAATTAAATGAAATAAGTATATCTTAGTACTGGGTATAGCCGATAAAAAGGGCTCAATAAATGACTGTGGGTGTTTTTTCAGTTGTTGTTGTTAATAGCATTATTAATGCCACCATATTACTACTATTTGCTTAGTGAGCGCTTGTTAAATGAATGAATGATTAAATGAATGAAAAGGTGTTTCTGTGGGACTGATCAGAGACATGCTATAAATGGTACAACCTAAATGGCCGATCAGGAGCAAAGGATATAGGATTCTTTGACGCAGTAAACAAACACTAAGAAGCTCTGGGGGACACAGTCTTACTTAAGAGATAGCTATGTACGTAAGAGTTACACTCTTCACCTCTCCTGTTATTTTGGTCAGCCAAGCCAAGAATCTAGTGTACTCAAGATAAATGAAGATATTCTTAAAATATCACCTCCCTACCAGCTTTCAGGAATGAACAACCTATTTTTGGTAATGTTTCAAAGATTTTATTGAACATCTAGATCTTTTGATATTCCTGATAACTTAAAATGTTTTCTTTCTGAATAACCTTGATTGCAGTCCTTACAGTTGGCAGAAAAGGTCTGACCTTTCTTAAAGGTTCACTTGTGATTATCAAACTTTATGGGTTGGTATAAACATAGGAAAACGTGTATACTACAGATTTTCCTCTGAAAAAAAATTTCTCTTCTTGGAAAAAAAAGGGCAGTTATATTGATATTGTAAAAAATCAATAAAAAGAAACCTCAATTAAATAGAGTCAGGATACCAGAAGATGGAGCTCTCATGCCCTGTGATGAGAGCAAAGCCCAACAGAAAGAAGACTCCTCTTCTTTCCTGGCAATGATTCAGCCAATAAAAAGCCATGGACTCTTAGTTTACTATAGTCTGCCAACCTCCTTTTCCTCTCTATAAAAGAGTTCTCCTTCCCTTGTAACGCGAGACCTTGCAGCACATGGCTTGCCATGGTTATAGACCTCGAAGTGCTGATCACAAATAAAACCATTTGTTTTAGGTCAACATTTTGGTGGTCTGTATGGGGATCAGAGAAGACCCCCAATAGCTCCAGGGCTGGTGAGCAAACAGGTGCAGTCCCCACAATTGAGTCCACTGTGCTCACTGATTTTTCTCGCAGACCCTGGA